GGCAAAATTTGAAGAAATTATTGGCCAACTAAGCCATCAAGTGGGGCCAACTCCCAACGGTTAAGAAATCCTTTCTAAGTCATTTTTTAAATCTCCACAATAACAAGAAAGCTTCAGCCAAACACATAGAAACGTTACCATCCAAATCACTTTCTAATTTAAAACATAGCAACGTTAATTTCATTTCCAAATAGCAACGTTGTTGCAAAATTCTTAGAAAGGTTTCGGCCAAGATTTTCTTTACATAAGCAAAGTGATTGCTTCGAGCTTTTCATACGACTTGTTCCGCATTTTATCGTAATAACGCGTGGTAAAGAAATTGTCAAAAGAATCGGTTCAGGTATGTTAAGGCTATCCCTTCTTTCCTTTTGGCATGATCCATACGATACAAACGAAACGAATAAATGCACAACTTCCATAAATGACTCTATTCATAGAAGTATTAGAGGTGCCTATGTTCTTGAATTCCCATGTCTTATTATTCTATCGTCTATTCGTGGTTCTCAGAAAATACATAAGTCGATAGAGTTTGTTTTATGATATTAATCGGAGATATAATGGTCTTATGACGTACCGAGAGATTTTATTGACGTACTTCTCAGGCATTGTATTTTTTTATACATGTACATTGAACCATGACCAGATGGCGTTATATACGCGTATATATATATATATATATATATATATATATATATATATATATANATATATATATATATATATATATATATATATATATATATGGGATATGGGAAAAGGTTACGGTGTTATATATGCACCACCACCTGATCAGCTGGTATACGTTGATGATTTGCCCACAGTGGTTGAGATGATATGATGGGATGCCCTCAGAGGCTTGATGATGTTATGAACATATGTACCTATACGACATGACATACATACGCATATGCATGACACTATGAGTATTTCATTATTTACAGAGTTATTCAGACTTACATGTCGAGTCTTTTACTCCATGTTTCTCTCATGTCTATTATTTACTGATATTCATTCCTTACATACTCAGTACGTTATTTGTACGGACGTCCCTTTTGCCTGGGGACGCTGCGTTTTATGCCCGCAGGTCCTGATAGACAGGTCGAGAGTCCTCCAAATAGGCTGTCAGCTCAGCGGAAGATGTTGATGCACTCCATTGCTCCTGAGTTGCTTAATTGGTCAGTATGATTAGTACATGTATTGATTGGTACGGCGGGGTCAGTCCCGGCCTTTATGATAAGTATGTACTCTTAGAGGCTTGTAGACAGATGTCATGTGTACGGATATTTGTATGGCCTTGTCGGCCTATATTTAAAGTATATAATGGATCACGTTGGCCTTATAGGCCCGTATGTCACAGGTATAATTAGTTTCTATATCAGGTTGGGACGTTCTATGTCAGGTATACCCTCATGTTTACTCTGGTTGTATCATGACACGCCTTCTGGCCCACCTATCTATGATGATGTAATAAGAAAGATACGTTACGTTGGTACTTGGTTGAGTAAGGTACCGGGTGCCCGTCGCGGCTTATCATTTTGGGTCGTGACAATGTTTTAGGCGTAATTTTGACTCATTAGCTATGACACTAGAAGATTGTCCAATAGGGACATCAGTACGGATTGGAACATTCTCTGCAGGGATATGTGATTTTGTTATCCTTTTCAGATCCGTAAATGCATCTGGCATTTGATTTGCTATCTTTTGCAAATGAATAGTCTTTTGCACATCTTTTTGACAAATAGAGGCACGCGGATCAAGACGAGACAATGATGGATTTTTCCACAAAATTTCCCGTTTGGTTTCACCATTTTCTACCCCTAATTTTGTGATAAGTGTCTCATCGAATCGACAGTCTGCAAATCGTGTAGTGAACAAATCCCCCGTTAATATTTCGAGGTAGCGAAAAATGGAGGGTGATTCAAACCCAACATATATTCCTAACCTTCTTTGGTGGCCCATTTTGGTGCAATATGGCGGTGCTACAGGCACATATACTGCGCATCTAAAAATTCTTAAATGGGATATATTAGGTTCATAACCCAAAACTAATTGCAACGGGGAATATTTATGATAATTTGTCGGTCTGAGACGAACTAGCATTGCTGCATGCAAAATGGCGTGATCCCAAATAGAAGTGGGTAACCTCGTTTTCATGAGTAATGGTCTTGCTATTCATTGCAGACGTTTAATTAAAGACTCTGCAAGGCCATTTTGAGTGTGAACATGAGCTACAGGATGTTCTACCTTTATCCCAATTGATAAGCAATAATCATTAAATGCTTGGGATTAAAACTCAGCAGCATTATCAAGTCTAATATACTTAATTGGATTATCGGGAAATTGCGCCCGTAATCGAATTATTTGTGGCGTTAGTTTTGAAAACGCGAGGTTGCGAGATGACAATAGGCACACATGAGACCATCTAGAAGATGCATCTATTAAGACCATAAAATATCTAAACGACCCACTAGGTAGGTGAATAGGTCCACAAATGTCCCCTTGTATACGTTCCAAAAACGTAGGGGACTCTATCCCAACCTTTGTTGGTGATGGTCTAATAATTAACTTGCCTTGATAACAAGAATTGCAAGAAATTTTTTTATTTAAAAGAATCTTTAACTTCTTTGATGCCCATTTGAGTTTTCTATAATCCGTCTCATCATAATTGATCCAGGGTGTCCCAGTCGATCATGCCGGGGAAGGGTAAGGAATGCTATACTATTGATGGATGCCCATTTGAGTTTTCTATAATCCGTCTCATCATAATTGATTCAGGGTGTCCCAATCGATCTATAATCCGTCTCATAATTCTATTTATAACAAATCGTTTTTTTCTTCAATTCTTTTCTTTAATTACATCAGGAGAGGAAGCCGGGGAAGGGTAAGGAATGCTATACTATTGATGGGAACAAATCCTCCACCTCAACTATAGAAGGCAGTAAATTCTCCTAAGTGAGCTAGAGTTACAATCTTTTGAACTCTAACTATGGAAAACGTTTTAGCCCCCCTTTTGAACATAAGAAATTTTTCTCTTTTTTCTAATTTTTTTCACTTTTTTATGAAATCAGCATTTTTGTTCATAAAATTTCCAATTTTTACTTGAAAATGAATTTTGAAAATTTTCGAAATTTTGAAAAACTCAAAAAGCTGTTTTTCAAAATTTTCACTCAAATCACTCACAAAACTTCAAAAACAATCCAAAATTATATTCATGCCCAAACACAACTCTAAATTTCAAATATCATTTTCACTTGAAATTGTTTTTTACCCTGTTTTGGAAATTTACAATTCTTATATCCAAACGCCCACTTAGTTGCAGTAGTGTTTACGTATTAAATTACTCCATCTATTCCAATGCATGTGACAATATTTCGTTCCAAAAAGAATATCAACTTTCTAAATTTGGAAAGAATATAATTTAAATTCTCATTTTACCATTAATGATGAGCTTTTATAGCTACACAAATATTTCCGTCTTATTTTAGACCACAAATTTCAAAAAAAAATTTTTTCTTAAATTTTATGTCAATTCAAACTTTGCTACGTTAAGTATAAAGGAGGGAGTATAATTTAACTAAGTATAAGCTAATAAAATTTTGTATAAACATAAAATGCAAGTAAACATTTTTCCTTTGAGTCAAAATTCAAATGGAATAATCCTACTTCAACTTAAGGAAAGAGGATAAAGCTCAAGCAGGGCCTATGTATGGGTTAGAGGGTGTTTGGCTAAGCTTATAAGCTGGTCAAACTAGCTTATAAGCACTTTTCGGCTTATCTACGCGTTTGGTAAAGTTAAAAGTGCTTATAAGTCAAAAATAAGCCAAAAGCCATAAGCTGGTCACCCCCAGCTTATGAATTTTTAGCTTATAAGCACTTTAAGTTTGATCAAATTTTTTACTATTTTATCCTTTAAATATTCTTTTTTAGAACAGAACTCCTACGTCGATACTCACTGCCTCAAGTATTCAACCTTAACCCCCCTACCCCCCCCCCCCCACCTCTTCAAGTCTGCAATTCTCATTTACTATAAGATAAGCAAATTCTCTGTTCCTTTGCATACTTATATTTATGTGATTGTGTATTAATCTATGAACTGTATGTAATAAATGAGGACATATCAAATTTTTGGTGTATTTGCTTTCTAAGTGTTGTGGTAATGAAGACAATGTTTGTTTCTCTTCAAATAATTTGTCCTATTTAGGTTTATTTTTTACTGAGAAACTTTTGTCAATTTATTAATTATTATAACTTATGATTATATGCTTATCATAAAATAAATTATATTTTTCATAAAAATTATCTTATCTAAGCACAGTCGTATTTAAAATAAAATAACAAATAGAATATTTTGTATTTGAATCGATCTCGAATATAAAATTTTAAAGAAATTACACCCTTATAAGTGTAAACAGTTCCTAAGATTATTTAAGTCATTTTAATAGAAAAAGAGCTTATCAGCACTTTTTTATCAAATACTGTAGCAACTTATTATCAATTTCAGCACTTGTACCCAAACACGTAACTGTTTATTTATTAAATCAGTTTCAGCATTTAAAAGTGTTTTTCAGCATCTAATGCTTATCAGTTACTTCAAATCAGCTAATCCAAATGGGCTCTTAATTTCCAATGTGCATGGTTGGCATTTGACCTTGAGAAGCTGGTAATTTTCCCCGACCAAGCCCTAAATGGTCCCTGTTCCGATCTTTTTATAGGCAAACCTATTCGACCAAAACCTACAAATAGACAAAAAAAAGAAGACAAAATATATACACTATACTATATTAAATAGCCTCATCAACATCTTGCATTTAAGATATTTCTTAGAGTTGCTGCAAAGATAACTTGCACATGGTTTCCGATAACAACGTGAAAACTGTAAGCTAATCAGCTACCCCCTTCATTTTGGTTGTCATTTACCATGAATTCTGCAGAGGTCAGATCAGTTTCTGTTTGAATCATTACACTTACAGAGAGAGAGAGAGAATGTAACACCTCGGTACTTGTCTATATACCATGAGTATGAACTTTTATTCCTTTAATAGTGCAACATGCATGGTAAACCTGATTAAGATATCATAAGAAGTGACTACACTGATATTTTTGTCCAATAATCTTCTTTCTAATTTAAAACCCCACAATTTATACTAAAAAAGAAGAACTTGTTATTCCATTTTTACTATGAGAATGAGTCAAACTAGCTAGGGTTGAACACTTTGATGATAAGGGTAATAAGTTTTAGAACCCATAGGTAAATAATTCCCACTTAAAGACGACATTGGCACAGGGAATCCTAGGCATCCTGAAGCAGCAGCAACTGGCCTAGTGGCTTCTACCTTTTCAAGGGATTGCACTTGTTTTTTCAAGAATTTCATGTAATGAATAGCTTCATCTAACATAGATGCAGTGTCCATTTTGGTTCCACCTGGTACTAATCTCTGAAGAATCCTTATCCTTTCACTTATCCTTTCTCTCCTATGGCGTGCCGCTACGCTTTGAGGATCGTTCGATATCTTCACGTTCTTTCTCTTTGGTGGTTTTACTGATTCTGGGTCGATTTGAATTGGCTGCATTGCTGCTATTTTAAATATCATCTCTCTCATCGCCGCCATAGAGTTTCGCTTCACTGTATGGGAAGGATATGCACCAAAAGCGTTCCTCAAAGCTTCTTGATGTTGAATTACTGAGGGAGAGCCAGTGAATGAAATGGTAGAAGCTGGCATGTTCAAGAATGTGTGTGAATTATGGTAACCAATCATTTGAGATAAATTAGCATTAGTGTTGTTGCTAATGTTGCTACTTCCTTGTGGACTACAATCCAACATTGGCATTTCATTCATATCAGAATAACCTTTGGAAAAATCCTGCATCTGCATCATAAGCATCATTTCCATCTGATCTTCAGGAGCTGCAGATTTGAGCAAGTCAATGTCCATGACTTTCTCTTTTATAGAGTAAAGAAAATAAAAGAAAAGGAAAAGATGATGATGTTATATTGGGAAGAGAAGAGCGTGAAAGGATTGGTTTACAGAGGGATGGGTGAGGTGAAGGAAAGAGTGAGAAGACTGAGAGTTTGATCAGAATGTTGCAGTGGGAAGGCAAATTAAGCTCAACTGCTGTAGAGCTGAGTATTAGGTTGTGGAGAAGAAATGGAAGAGGGATACAATAAAATAGTGATATCGGGAACAGACTACCACATTGGGAAGGCTATATATAACAAGTGGTTACATTATTATATACTCCTACTACATAAATTTATATGCTGTTTCAATTATTATAATATATATACTCATATCTCTACTATCATTATGTCACCAAAGTTGATAAACCTTTTTCCTTGTCCTTTTTCTTTTCCTTTCCTTCTTTAGTTTTCTTTTTCAATTTGATAAATATATTCCACCCTGAAAGAGATACATTCCGCTCTTGCAGGCTGCAGCTAGCTAGCTAGGCTTCGAAAAACTAATACTCACTCCGTTTCACTTTATGTGAACTTATTTGACTGGATGGACATGAAATTTAAGAAAAAAGAGAAGGTTTTTGAATTTCTAGTGTAAAATGAGGCACATATATTTTGTGTTGCTATAAATCATTGCATAAACATAAATTGTTTTCAAATATGGAAAGAAGTCATTCTTTTTGGCACGAACTAAAAAGGAAATAGGTTCACATAAATTGAAACTGATGGAGTACTAAGTTCTTTTCTGATCATTGTGTTTACCCTTAAAATTGGATAACAATTAAACTTACAATGTGGTTTTAAGGATAAGTGATTTCACCTAATACCAATTGACAAATGCAAAGAGTGTTAATAGAGATTAACAGTAATATAAAGCAAACCAGTGTTTGGACGGATTCCAGCCCTCGAGTTTGAACACTCTGGAACTGACCAATGCAAGAACAGTTAAAAGTATAACAGTCTGATGAACAAGAATATAAGCTAGAAAGTATTATATTTCTTTGATATTCACGGATGTAAGATGGTTACAAAATGATTAGGGCCCTCTTTATATAGTAGAGGAATCCTATTTATGGTATAATTCTAATTACGGAAGCAAATCTCATGATTAACTAAATAACCACCCTTGATTTGATCTGTTCCGAGATCTATGCCATGATCTTCGGCCAGTCACGGATATCTCGCCTTTCTGTTATTGTGCTTTGCTCGATGTCTGTCTCATTTGGTCTCGATTACTACTGGTTTCGATCTTCGATAGGTACCTCGGTCCTCTAAACCGGTGCCTTATCCTCGTACCTCGATCTGATATGTTGCGAGGCAGACCTTCGATGCAATTTCCTAGCCTCGATCAAATAGTAAAATCGGGTAGGCCCGGTTTTAACCGTATACTGATAGTCCCCTCATTTCTTGGAGTGTAATGAGAATAAACGAATTGAGCCTTCGATTTTGTACCTCAACCTGTCATGGCGTCATCTTTATGATGTAAGCGATGGAATTGACTTAAATGTCCTGTCGGTTCGCATATCGATGCATTAAATGCATGTCAGCTGCTGCCTGCCATTATTGATTTTGAACCGTCATCTTCTTCCTATAAATGTGCCTTCCTTCTCTTTTGCCCAAACTTACTCTTAATCTCCGCTCTAATCTTCAAAGCTTTTCACTTCCTTCAAGCTTTTTCGTGTTGCATAATCTCTAGGTTTCGTTATCAACCTTCCCTTAAACACCAAACCTCATTCTCTTCTTCTTTCTTTCAACTTGCAGAGATAACCAAAATATCTAAGACTGTTCCACAAAAGGAGGGCGCCTCTTCATCGCAGCCGGCCGGCGATAAAACACCGGTGGAGCCGCGCCGTGAGGAGTGCGTTCTCGAGGGGGGTGTGATCTTACCTCCAACTTTAAAGTCGAGAAAACTTTGTCTGTCCCTGGTCGGTGTGAGCCAATGTCGAGATACGTGTGTTCGATAATTGAGAGTGACCTTGAGCAGGTTAAGAAAGACTTCCATTGGGAGAAGATAGAGGTGGCGATTTCGTCCCCCGAGGAAGATATCATTACCCATGTGTAAGGGTTTCTAAGTGTTTATACTTACCCTTTCACGCTGACCCTGTCGATCCCGTCGTCATTGATTTTTCTGCCAATATCAAATAACCCTAGGTCAGGTCCACCCTTCTTTTTGGCGGATTGTCGTTCTGTTCCGATTTTTTGTGAGCAAAGTCGAAAGGACGCCTTTCACCCTCGACCACCTCATCAGGCTGTACAGGCCCCGTCTTTTTTGAGGTGGGTTAATAAAGCTTCAACATCGGGCCACCAAGGTGCTGTTATCGAGCATAGACGAGGACAAGGATCGAGGGTGGATGGGTCGGTTTGTTCGAGTGAAGATTTCCGGCCTAAGTCTGTCCGAGAAGATGCCATTTCCCGAGAAGTGGAATATGAAGCGTAAGTTCAATCTTCCTTTAGCTTCTATTTACTATTTTATTTCCTTTACTTCCCCTCATCGACATCCTTTCCTATGATGTAGCAGTTTCTTGGATGCATGGTGCGATTCCGAACCTCGAGAACTGGGTCCGGACCCTATCTTCAACCTCCTCGTACGCTGAGCGCTCATGGCGCGATTTAGCAAGGGGCCGATAGGAGGCCAAAAATCACAGTAAACCTTTTCTTCACGTATTTGATGGCTTTCGTTAAAATATTTCCCTCTTATACTCACTTGATTTCCTTTCATACAAGCCTCGGGAAAGATGCCGCCATGATGCCCCCGTCCAAGGAGGAGGAGGTTTCGCCCCCGATCCCGAAGCCGGCGAAGGAAAAGAAAAGAAAAAGGGTTTCGCCCTCCGAGACTCTAAAGCCCAAGAAGAGTAAGGCTCGTAAGCCGAAAAAAGACACCACTGTCTTGCCTGCGGATGTAGTTCAGTGACTAAGAGACGAATAAGAGGAAAATGAAGATGATGGCTTCGAGCTGGTGGCTCGAACTAAGGAGATCTCGGAAGAGGGCCTGAGTAATGTCCACAAGTTGTCGGAGGCCGAAGATGCCTCTTGCCAAAATTAGCAATCGACGGGTGTTCCTGAAGGGGCTGGCTCCGAGGCCCTTCAAAATGAAGAGAACGCCCCAAGTGACTTGCTTGGGCCAATAGAAATTGGCAATTCGCCGATCCTTCCTTTATTTTCTAAGGGGCAAATTTAGGAGACCCAGGCCATGAGAACCCTCGATGTAGAAAGAGTCCATGAAGAGGAGGACCTTTTCCGTGGTTGCTTTACGGGAGTTGAAGATACTTCCGACCTGAGTGATGCATCGGGTCTCTTCGATAAGGCTCAACGACTTCTGAGCCGGGTAATTAGCCTCAGCTCCTTTCATCGATATTGCACTTGCATTTATTTCTTCTTGCCTTATTTCCTTTCTTTCTACATAGGACTTGACACTTCATCGGGGAACGTTTTCTAAATCACGGGCAGAGCTAAGCCAATGCGAGGCCGATCTTCAAAGGCTCACGGAGGAGAGGAATGCTCTCAAACTTTTTAACGGGCAAAAAGAAGAGGAGATCAAGGACCTCCGATCCGAATTGGCCACAACTCATAAAGAGCAGACCGACCTGATCGAGCAAGTAATGAAAGCTTTTAGAAGCTCGATGTACCAATTTGGGAACGACAACTAATACTTCGATCCTGCAGGTTCGGCAGAAGGCCAAAAAGATCGAACAGCTCCGTGAGGAGGCCAACGTAATGAGGGCAGAGACTTTGGGGTGGAAACAAAACATGGGCCGCCTTGCCTCGAAGAAAGATACTGCTCGATCCCAACTGTCATCGGCCGAATGTCAACTCCAAAGCATGAAGGAGGAAAGCTCGGCCCGAGGCAAGAAAATTGAGGAGCTCGAGGCTCGGTTGGCTGCCGAACTTGCAGAGGCCACATCTCAGCCAGAAAAAGTAAAGGCTGGCACGGAGGTGGTCGTGGCCGTCTACCGAGATGATGTTGAAGATTTTCAAGCTCGAGCAAAGGAAGTTGCTGATACTACTCGAACTCGATCATATATGGTTGCCGAGCATGCCACGTACCAGTGTCGAAGAGAGACTCTCGAGGATATTCATGCTCGTGGCTTTAACCTTGATGTCGAGATCAAGAATGCGAAAGAGCTTGAGGCCGAAGTCAAAGCATTGCTCTCTTCTGATGATGATGATTCCGGGAGCGCGAGTGTATCCGTGAGTGGAGGGGATTTCGATGATGAAGACGCAACTCCCGAAGAAAATTAGGCACTTGGGATTTTTTTTCGAATTTTTGTGTAGGATCCTGATCGGTCCTTGTAAATATTTTCATGTATATATAAAACGTTTCCTTTCTTATCTCGACTTTTGCCTTATGAAAATTCCGATTTGCTTCTCGCCTTATGACAATTTTGATACACTTTATGCCTTGTGAAATTTTGTTTGTGAATTCGAAACATAGGCAACTTGATTGAAGTCAGACTAATATAGCTTCTATAGTTGAGTGAGTACTTGCTCGAACTCGAAGTAGAAAAACCCTTAGGTTTTAGTTGAGTGAGAGTGAATTCTCGAACTTAAAAAATATAACGGCCCTTAGGCTCTCGAATTGGGCCAATATGGCTTCAAAAGAGTGGCTTTTTTCCCTTTTCGGCTCTAAAAGTTTAATCATATAAAAATTTGTCATGCCTTAGCATGAAGTAAGTCTGTAATCGTTTAGTGTTATCGAAACCCTTTGCTTTTTTGTGCCTTAACACTATTTTGTTCTGTACTAAATTGTTCGAAGGTTTGAACAGTTCGATACCCCTTAGGGTTTTTCGAGGGCTGATGTTGTCGAAACCCTTTGGTTGTTTCACTAAGGGTAGCCTTTTTAACCGGTTTATAAAAGTATTCGAAGGCCTGTTTTCATTACGGAATTCGGACGTCTCTGAACGGTGTATGTTTGTCCTTAGCCTTCGGATTTGCCTCTTAGGCTTATTTTCCTAATTACACTTCGAACTTGTTCGAAGTGTCAGCCCCTGAGTGGGGCGGCCTTGGCCTAAAAAATCGAGGATTGCATTTTTAAGGTCATATGGTCTCGAAGTTTAATAATTCGCGCATGTCAATTTTTGGACGGCAGTCCCCGAGTACGGGGTTGATTGTTCGAGCTTTAGTTGCGATCGGCACTTGAGCCAGTTTCCACAATAGATCATAAGTATGAAATTGTAAAGTAGAAATTTCACTAAGGCATGAAAAATCTGGTA